ATCGGTTTTTGATTTCGACGAACGGTGTTGGCATTGTTACTAAAAATAGAAATTTCTTTGAAATTCTTTCCAAATGCTACTCCTCCTACAAATTTAGTCTGATTTCAATATAACTTGGCACACAAGTAGACTACACTAAGATACATAATTCTGTATATCGGTTTTTGATTTCGACGAACGGTGTTGGCGTTGTCACCAAAATTAGAAATTTCTGTGAAATTCTTTCAAAATGCTATTCCTCCTACAGTTTTGGTATGATTTCAATATAACTTGGCACTCAAGTAGACTACACTAAGGTACATAATTCTTTATATCCGTTTTTGACTTCAATGAAACATTATTACCTTGGTTAATAAAGATAGCAATTTCTGTTACTCTCAAATTTGCTACTTCAAATACAGTTTTAGTCTGATTATAATATAATGTGGCTTGCAAGTAGACTACACTAAGAACATAAAAAGACTTATTCAAGGATCATTATTCTCTTTTTTACCTGTGCAAATTTTCAATTCCCAACTGCTTAAGTACTTTCCTCTTCCTTTGCTATAAGTACAAACCAGTAGAGCTTCAGTCTCGACGGAGACTTCTGGTCATGAGATGTTTCTTAAGTTTAGAATTATAGAACTATGTAATTTATTTTTTATCTTTTCAAGATTTTATATTTTTAAGATGTTAACAGTGTTAATAGTTAAACTATATTTCTATAGATTTTTTTAAAATATTGACTCTTGAGTGCTGTTGTGGAATTTAAATGAATAAAGCAGCATCATGATACTGATTCCTTTTTTAGCTCTACTGGTCAGAGACCAGAAGAGCTTATGCGATAGTAATGCGTCCGGCGTCCATCCGTCCTGTCCGTATGTCTGTCTGTCTGTCCGTCTGTCTGTAAAAAATTTTTCAAAATGCTACTCCTTTTACAGTTTTGATCTGATTTTAATATAACTTGGCACACAAGTAGACTACACTAAGATACATAAAATAAAGCATCGGTTTTTGATTTCAATGAACGGTTTTGCCGTGGTAACTAAAAATAGAAATTTCTGTGAAATTTCTTTAAAATGCTACTCTTCCTACAGTTTTAGTCTGATTTCAATATAACTTGGCACACAAGTAGACTACACTAAGATACATAATTCTATGTATCGGTTTTTGATTTCGACGAACGGTGTTGGCATTGTTACTAAAAATAGAAATTTCTGTGAAATTCTTTCAAAATGCTACTCCTCCTACAGTTTTGGTCTGATTTCAATATAACTTGGCACACAAGTAGACTACACTAAGATACATAATTCTGTGTATCGGTTTTTGATTTCGACGAACGGTGTTGGCGTTGTTACTAAAAATAGAAATTTCTGTGAAATTCTTTCAAAATGCTACTCCTCCTACAGTTTTGGTCTGACTTCAATATAACTTGGCACACAAGTAGACTACACTAAGATACATAATTCTGTATATCGGTTTTTTATTTCAACGAACGATGTTGGCGTTGTTACTAAAAATAGAAATTTCTGTGAAATTCTTTCAAAATGCTACTCCTCCTACAGTTTTGGTATGATTTCAATATAACTTGGCAAACAAATAGACTACACTAAGTTACATAATTCTATGTATTGGTTTTTGATTTCGACGAACGATGTTGGCGTTGTTACTAAAAATAGAAATTTCTGTGAAATTCTTTCCAAATGCTACTCCTCCTACAGTTTTGGTCTGACTTCAATATAACTTGGCACACAAGTAGACTACACTAAGATACATAATTCTGTATATCAGTTTTTGATTTCGACGAACGGTGTTGGCGTTGTTACCAAAAATAGAAATTTCTGTGAAATTCTTTCAAAATGCTACTCCTCCTACAAATTTAGTCTGATTTCAATATAACTTGGCACACAAGTAAACTACACTAAGATACATAATCTTCTATATCTGTTTTTGATTTCGATGAACGTTGTTGCTGTGGTTACTAAAAACAGACATTTCTGTGAAATTCTTTGAAAATGCTACTCATCCTACAGTTTTGGTCTGATTTCAATATAACTTGGCACACAAGTAGACTACACTAAGATACATAATTCTGTTTATCAGCTTTTGATTTCAATAAACGGTTTTGCTGTGGTAACTAAAAATAGAAATTTCTGTGAAATTCCTTTAAAATGCTACTCCTCCTACAGTTTTGGTCTGATTTCAATATAACTTCGCAAACTTGTAGACTACACTAAGAACATAAAGAGACTTTATCAAGGATCATTATTCTATCTATTGCTGTTGTTAAGTTTCAATTCTCAACTGCTGAAGTACTTTTCTCTTCCTTTGCTATAAGTACAAACCAGTAGAGCTTCAGTCTCGACAGAGACTTCTGGTTTAAAAAAGTGTATTCGTTTCTTTGAATTAAACTACACACAAACGTTTCAAAATCATGGAGAGAAGACCCAGAGATAGAAATTTTTTAGAAAAACGTGTTTAAAAATGTACCATTTTGTACTAAACGTCTGATCTGGGCAATTTTCAAATTATTTTTGAGCAAATCAAACTCAATTTCTGGAAAACATTTTCATTTCCTGTTGCACAGGAACCCGATAAATTAAAAAAAATGTTAAAATTTCATGTGACATATTGATAAAATTTCCACTTTTAAATTACGCCCAGATTCCTGCCGAATGTCAATCAAAAGCGCCCTCGTTCTTTGGTATATAGTGCAGTTAGTGCAATCTTAAAAATCCTCTTTACTCCTGGACATCAAGCAGTCAAACTGTTAGAATAATTGTAATCAGCACTGAGTCCTCTACCAAAATTGTGAAATTCATGGCCCAGGGTCAGGGGTTCTAGTGCTAGGGCGGGGCTATATAGAATATACAGTGAAAATGCATAAATTCTTTGAAATTCTTCTTTTCTGCTCCTGGGCAGAAATAAACTAACCAAGTGCATAGTTAAGTTGAAAATGACTGCTTCTTCCAAAATTGTGAATCTAATGACCCCAGGTTCAGGGGTTCTAGTGGTAGGGTGGGGCTTCATAGATTATATAGTAAAAATGCAAAATATTTTGAAATTCTTCTTCTCTGTTCATGGGCATTAAATAAACTAACCAAATGCATAGTTATGTTGAATAAGACTGCCTCTTCTCAAATTGTGAATCTAGTGGCCCCAGGGTTAAGGGTTCTAGTGGTAAGGTGGGGCTATATAGATTATATAGTGAAAATGCATTTAATTTAATTACGTATTTTAAAGCCAGTTTAATTCTTCTTAAGACTAGAGGTGGCTCATTTGCCTCCACATAAGAGAAGTTCTAAAAGGCCCCCGAGCACAATCTAAGACCTTGATGGATTGCGTCAAGAGCCTTTGCATAGGAAGTCCCAGCTGATCCATACACAATATATATATGGTCTAATTTTGATTTAACTAGACAGCGATAGCGTTTTTAAAGTAGAGTACTTTTATCAGCTCCCCATTTTTGTGTTTGCTATTACTTTATTAATATTTAGTGCCTTTAAACATTTTTCTTGGAGCATCTTTATGTGTGGAATAAAAGATTTTGTTATCAAAGATGAAGCCTTATACCTTTATTTCTTTAACTACTTTTATTGGATTTCCATTTAATGGTTCATCTTGGTTTTCCGTTTTAAACAAAAATTGCACACGTGCAGTTTTACTCCTTGAAAATTAAAAACCTTTAATATCGGCCCAATTTTGTTTAGACATGATTGTAACCGCCGCTCAATAAAATAGTTATATTTCTGGACCTGCAACACAGAACAAAGTCGTCAACATATAAACTACCATGCATATCATTTACTACACACACGAGAATGTCATTTGTGTGAGCACACTGTCTCGCATAATTTCGCCAATGTAAATTTTTTGGTAAACAAAAAGTACAGTAATATACAGTAGACTAAGTGTACATACAAGATTGTTCAAATCTTGACACCCCCCCCCCCCCCAAATCTAAATAGAAGACAGATCAGAACTTTAATTTATGATTGTTAATGAAGACTAGACTAATTATTTTGATGATCCTGAACATCCTATTTCTCTTGCTTTCGGACAACAATGCTTCTATCAGTTTATTATAACCCCCCGCTTGAAAAGCGAATGGGTATATCATATATATAGTAATCGTCCGTCCGTATGCATATATGTACGTCTGTCCGTCTGTGTTACGCTTTGGGGTACCCATCTCTTATCCGCAACTCCTCCCATACCACTGAATGAAATTTGATGAAACTTTCACAGAATCTTTATTAAATATTGCCATTGTGCACCTCCTATTTTATTTTTCGATCCGACACACATTTAGGGTTTCCCACAACAAAAGATGGACACTCCTTTTATATTCATATGGGAGGCGGGGGGTATCATTTAGTGAGCTCATCGCTCATAGTACCTCTAGTTTTATATTCTATGGATTGTTGTTTTATACTCAAGTGACTGTTACGGCCCTTGGGCCTCTTGTAATGAATATATGACAAAGGACGGTTATTAAATTCTGCATGCTTCAACTGAGCATTATCTGATCCAACAAGTTACAATCGACCAATTTAAAAGACCTTGAACATTGCCCCAAAGTATCAGTGTGTATTAGTTTGTCTGAAATTTGTTTGAATTATAGAATATTTTAAGAAACAAAAAAAATCACACATGTAATCAAAATAAAAAATGAAACAATAACGTGGGGACACATTTCCTTCCTCTGCCTGAATGTTTATATCTTGTCATGATCTTTGTACTGTAGACGAATTATTGGGATAATACCTGTATTGTCGCCACCAAATTTCTTTGTGCATGTTACCTCAAAGTGAAGGTCTAGGTTACAGTATCTCTTTGTAAAAATTACGATTTATAAAAAAGTTATTACCATAAACAAAATGTAGTCAACGCTACGGTAATAGAATAAGGTAACTGATAAGGCGGCATTCCACAGGTTTAAACCTCTACTTTTCGTTTAGATTCTGCGAACACATTATCAATCAGTATTATGAAGGGCAAACAACGTTCTGCGCGCATAATAACGTGTCCTTACTATCTTCTTTTTATACATGCAGTCCATGCACCTGTTGCAGTACTTCAAACGTAGTCTTGCGACATTTTATCAGTTATTTGATTTTTTTTTATTCATAAATATTCAGGTAAACAATTTGTGCATTGTGCTTCTGTAAATAATTCTCCGAATACTGAAAATCGATAAACTTGGAAGTCAGAAATAATGGGACAGTGTCTTGGAAAATTGGACAGACGACATGTACCTAGGGAATCGGTAAGATTTGTTTTCTTTTTTAGAGAGGAAATATGTTCTATAAGTATAATTACATAGAGGTGAATTATATTCAACATGTCATTTAAAATTAAAAGAAAAAAAACTTGTCCTTCATCTACGCGTGATTATTAGTACATGACATTATCAGGAGGTGTTGTAAACGGAGGTGATCATTACTTGATCAAACATGAAAAAAATTCTTTTTACTCTAAAAAGCGTATCAAATGTCAAGAAGTCGGAGAAAAGGTCCATCAGCCCATGAGCTTCAAAGTCGAATGAATGTCAAACTGATATAAAGGTTGCGTTTGTAAAACGTGGCGATTTTTATCGACTCACCAACTTTTCCAAAATTTAGTTTATCTTCATTGTGGAAACAACGCTGCCAAGTGGGGGTGGGGTGGGTGTTCTGTGCGAGCTTGATGATCCAGTGTATTAAAGTTGCAAATTTTTACCTATACTTGGCACCAAGGGCCATTGCGTAGTATGGGATCTTTATCGTGCCATCACCTACAGTGACACGGGACCGCAGTTTATTCAGTCTCATTCAAAGGAACGGTATCCAAGTCCCCATTGGGATTCGAACGCGCGAGGTAAGGATCGACTCCTTACTCCGCGACTCTAGAGAACCTTTGAGTAAATAAATTTTGTGATAAAGAGGCAGTAGATTGCCATGTCTAACCCGACAGCTTTATCGATGTTGCGTAAAGCAATCCGTCGCAGTGCATATTGATCCGTACTGTTGGAAGTTAACCTGCTATTCATAAAAAAAGAAACACAATTCACTGCACGTTTTAAAGTTGGCAACAAAAACAAATAAAGTAAATTGTTCGGACCAACTGGATGAATAAACAGTCATGACATATTTCATTTTAGAAAATACGAATATATTTATAACGAGAGGGGTAGGATGTTAAAAAAAATAATTAACTTGTTCTGAAGAGTTCTACATTGAATTGCAACCTTATGATTACTCAAGCCCTAGAGGGGCTTGAGTTATCTAAAACGATGCTAGGTCATCGATTTACTCAGTTTAAAAACAGAAAAATATATTATTTTTGTAGATAAAAAGATTTCTAGAAACAAAAATGAAGCTTATCTTGAAAACATCTGTATATTCAAAGATATTAAGTGTTAAATATCGGATTCTATTTTACGGCGAATGAATAATGAGTGAAGCTCCGCAGCCGCAACAGTTTCTATACAGAGATTTCGCGCCTTTCCTTCGCAGTACAGTTAAGGTGCGCAATGGAAATATCGGCTAAATTTTGTATTTAAAAATGTATTGGTAATCGGGATGGCGATTATTTTTAGAACATTATTTATATCGGATAATTGTAATTATGATTAATAACTACATATCGAGGACAATTATATTTTATATTTAGACTAGTCACGTGATGCGGCAGTCACGCGATTTTAGCACATTGACTTGAAGTTTTGATGTTACATATAAATATCACTAGTGCAAGGGCATAACCAAGTTAAATTTCCAAGTTTATTATATAAATATTTTCAACACGTATCGTAGTTTCTAAAAAGTGCTGCGATCCTGTCTAAATACGGCAATTTCATTTTTAAAATTATACTTGTATGATCGAATGCTATATTTTTTGCTGGTCAGCGGCATGAAATACTAATATAATTAAATTGTTTTTAAGATTTCATCAGGATCGCAGCACTTTTCAGATACCTTATTAGTCCTATAGTTGAAATGTAAAAGCTTACTTTGATCCATAGAGTGTATGCCCTTGCACTAGATCGATTTATTAAGACCCCCCACATTACCCTCCGATGTACTTGCGTACAAATATACGGCAGTGTAAATTAAATAAGTAATGTACAGAAAATATATTAATTAAATAGCGAAGAAGACATTAAATTCAAGTTATTGTCCCATAGAATACCTGTAAATAATATTTTATTTAATTAGAGAATACATATTTTGTTGGGAAAATATTACTTGATCTGTCTCTCACTGCATACAAATTACGTCACGTTGTAAGAAATGACGTCATATTGACAAGTGTATTGCGATCAGTGCCTTGTTTATAACTTGCTATGTGGGATTTAACTAACAACAAAACAACACGCTGTAGTAAGTTTTTATGTAGTTTGATGATTTCTTACTGGTTAAATTAGCAGATAAACTCATTTTGTGGTATTTTAAAGAAATGTTGTATGACGTATATTGTGTATGATGTCATAGTCAAGTTTTCCCGTACAAATTAGGCTCCACCTCCTTTTTGTAACCTTAACTGTGCTGCGTTTGCGTAGGAATCTCAGGTAACTTTTTACAGTCGCCGACAAAGCATCCTTGGACGAGTCCACTGCAGACTCTGAAAGGTGACGCAGGTTACCCCATCGTTAACAAATTCTACAATGCATGGCCAGAAAATGTATGGCTGTACCCCCCAACTGATATCGCTATTCACGGGCCTGCAAATGATGACAGTAAAATAATAGCACAAAATCATTGTTATTTTAAACTTTGGTAACGGAACCTATATTAATTATAATAAGTTCTTTTGGATTCGTACGGAAAATGTACTGGACATGTCCCTCAGCTAGATAAACCTCCTCGTCTCAAGACACGGTCTGGAGTAGGAGAGTATCGTATATTTTGGCAGTGGTTTGCAACGATGGATGAACCCGTAGCAAGCTATTTAGATTGATGTATATATTGAATGTGATGTACGTCATTAAGCAAAAAATACAAAAAACTTACATAGTTTGAAGTATACTAAATGTCTATCAGACATAAAAAATATTTCATTAAATTAAGAAACGGCAACGTTAGTATGCTCTGTAGAATATTCCTGAAAGTGTGTCACGTAAATTCATCTTAAAAAGTAGTATGATTACTTATATTTCTTCTAATTAAATTCAATATATGAATTTTGTTTCATGTACATATACTTTAATCAACAGAAAATTGAATCTTATACCATTTTAGGATATTACTGACACTTCCTAACTGACTTTCTACAGCTTGAGTATTTCTGACTTTTTGTCAGTATATACTTGTTTTAATTATATTTTTTATCAGGTGACTTTCTCTGCACTAAATCCGCCCCAACAATTAGCTGTTCCAACAATACCTCCCCGGATTCCTCTGGTTAACATCCAGGGACAACATCAAGGATATAATGACCAATTCCCCTCCAACTCACAAAATCAGGTAAAGGTGCTAGTATTTAGCATTTGGAAACCAATTTGTGTTTTTTGTATCGGAGACATAGTACATTAGAGACATTTAATGGTCATATATTTAAGTAATGTCTGAAATATATTTGTATAGATAAAGCAGTTTCCCTAAAATTGGTGTTGACATTAATTTCGTTTTTTTAGGAATGCCCAGAACGAGTCTTGGTAGCCGCCATAGATTTAGGAACCACATTTTCCGGCTATGCATTTTCCTTTCGTCACGAGTATCTTTCAGATCGCTTGCGGATCAGTACCAACCTCTGGCCACATAACAACGGGATGTCCATGAAAGCACCAACGTCTATCTTGTTAAATCAAAATGGAGAGGTGGAAGCATTTGGATACGAGGCTATCAAAATGTATGGTGATTTGGCCGAATATAACCAGCATACTTCATACTATTTCTTCAACAAGTTTAAGATGAACCTCTATCAGCAAGGAGTAAGTATCATATTACAAGGCATTATAATTTTTTAAAAGTTTCTCCTCCATGGTACCTTAGACTAGCTTTGACCGTCATGGCACCATGCTTCACCTGCTTCCTGAATTGTTGAAAATGACCTAGAGCTTGAATACTTTTCGTTATCCCCATATTTCGTTATTTTCATTGATATAGATTGGATACACGTGTATCTTTGATATTAAAGACACCACAGTCATTCATATTTAAATTTTCTTCTGACTAAATAGACGATAAGGACCTTCTAATAACTAAACTACGAGCTGATTTCAACTTTCCCCGACATGAACTTTCGTTATTTAGCTTTGAGATTTCTCGTGAGCTTTGTCGAGACTTGCGCTTTCAATTCTGAATAGCTTTAGGTAAATTATTGACAAAGAGTTACTGAAACAAGAAAATCAGCAGTCTTTTATAAAGTCATCATTTCGTAGGTGTCATGGTCGATGCAATGACCTTGTCAGCAAATGCAATTGACGACGAGGAGCACACGGCGGGTGTGACCAGTCGGCAGGGGATGATCACCCCTCCATGGCACTTGATCATACCTCTGATGTTCTGAAGGTTCCCGTTTTTTCTGCTCCAATTTTGTAATATTTTATGGATTTTGATTTTGAACACTTGCATATCGAATCAACTGTATAGATATATATATGAACTCCTTATGAAGGTGATGAAGGAGTAGGGATATTGGCAATTGAAAAGTTAAAGTCATCATTTTTATTATAGAGCTTGGTTGTTAGATTACCTTTAAGGAAGCTAACAAAATTTCAGATAGATTAAACAAGACAATTTTCTGAATTTTAAAATCCATTCTTTGGTGAAGGTTTCGCAAGCTAAATGCTGATAAGGGCAAAGTAGTTTCCTATATGCCACAATTTTTAATTGGCGTTATTCGATTTCCTAATTTCATCAAATTAAGTTGTTTTTTTTTTTACGAGTTACCAGAATAGTAAGGTAAATACACGTAACTGTAACGTAGAAATCTCAAATTCTACGTTCGCCATTTATATTTTAGGCACTTTCAACAGACTTAAAACTTCATGATATCTCTGGGAAAACAATGGCTGCAGTTGATATTTTTGCAAAAGTTATTGGATATTTAAAGCAGCACGTGTTAACCCGATTAAAGGAAATGGACTCCAAACTCAACTTGGCTCCAAGTGACATTCAGTGGGTTGTGACGGTACCTGCAATTTGGGATGACAAAGCCAAATTCTTTATGAGAAAAGCCGCTGAAAAGGTGGGGGCATTATATACTACATTTTCTCTGAGTAAAAAAATAGTGTAAGTCAAAAGCCATTACCCCGTGCACATTTTGAAAAAGAAATTTTTATTTTGTTTTCGAAACGATCACAGTCCGCCTTTGTGATTGAAATGTCAAAAGCTTTATTTTTATAGACGATGATGTTATTTGTTTTGCAATTGGTGGATAAAGTCAGATTATTATTTTATTTCTAGGCTGGCATTGAGGGCCGAAATTTGACCTTAGCTCTCGAACCGGAGGCAGCATCACTTTTCTGCCGATACAGCCCTACTTATCAAAGTAACGTCCAAGAGAACACACATGTATTTGACATTTTCAAACCAGAAACAAAATATATGGTCGTTGATCTGGGTGGTATGTTGTTTTTAATTCCTTCCAGTTGAGCATATACATGTTTTAAAGGATATAAGACAAACTGGCAGAAATGATAATGTTTGCACTGTGTTTGATTATCAAAGTTCTTTTCACATATGTCGGATACAGATCAAAATGATATTCATATTTTTATGCTTAGTATGATGGTTAGTATAATTCATATTATTATGCGCTTTTCAAATATCTTAAATGATTTTGTTTTAAAGGTGGCACAGTGGACATCACGGTCCATTGCGTTCACGAAGGTGGTGCTTTAGAGGAACTATATCAACCTACAGGTGGCTACTGGGGCGGCACGACGGTAGACGACGAGTTCTGCTCCCTCCTCGTAGGAATATTTGGTCATGAAGTGTACAAAGAATTTCAAAATAATTTCACATCTGATGTGATTGAACTATTTCAAGAATTTGACATAAAGAAACGTTTGTTTGAACCAGGACAAAATACAACTGTTTCAATTAAGATATCTGCTTCTTTAGTAGAGTTGTACAGAAAACACACTGGAAGAGAAATTCAGGAGGTATTAAACACTCAACAGGTTCAAGACGTCAAGATTAAGAGAGACAAGCTTCAAGTTTCCCCTCAAGCTTTTATTCGCTTATTTGACAAATCAATTTCCGGTATTGTATGCCATATTCAAAGCTTACTACAAATGACAAAGGTCTCGGGTGTAACTGCCCTTCTGTTAGTGGGCGGTTACGCTGATAGCCATGTCGTCAGAGACGCCATTGTTTCTCATTTTCCGAATCTTCAAATTATCCATCCACAGGAAGCTGCTTCCACTGTTCTTAAGGGAGCCGTATTATTTGGGCATGAACCCCGAGCTATCGTGGCGAGAGTTTGTAAATACACGTATGGTATTGCTATATCAGAGCCGTTTAAAGAGGGTGTTCACGATCCAGACAAAAAGAGATTTGTTAATGACGAAGTCATATGTGACGATGTGTTCGATGTCCATCTACAAGTTGGTCAGCAAGTGTCTCTGTCAGGTAATCGGATCGGAAAACCTTACAATGTCTACAGCGGACATTCACACTCTTTACTAGAAGTATACGCTTCCTCTGTACCGAGTCCTAAGTACGTCACGGAAAGCTGGTGCACAAAATTAGGATCGGTGGTTTTGGAGTTACCTCCAGATATGAAAGGAGATGAAAAAATTATAGTAGGGTTATATTATGGCGGAACCGAACTAGGAGTTTTTGCGGTGAATTCAAAAACTGGATCACAAACCCACGCCTTTTTTGATTTTTTGGGATAAAAGTAAATGTGGTTTCGTCTAAGCAAATCAATCTAAAACATTATTACTACTAAAAGGACGAATATCGAGACAGTCGATCGCATCTATTTCTACATAAACATTTAACATTTCGCTTTTTGTTTATATTTTTTTTTATCACATATCCGTGTAGATTTATTCAGATGTAAAGAATGTGGAATACCGGTACTTGTGCCTTCCCATGAATGAACATGCCAAGGGGTCTTGTAATTTGATTTAAAGTGAAATATCCCTCTGCTCAAAATTCACCTTTTTTATTTTCAACATTGATTTTCATCATTAACAATAGCATTAGATTCAAATTGAAAATAGTTTTGAAGACTAAGTGTTGCTTTACTTTTTCAGAAAAAAAATATCATTTAATATATCCAATCATGTTGTGAAGAAAATTCACTAAGGTAAATTGAAAGATCAGTATAAATATTTCCTCACAATAAAACTTAAAAATTGTGTTAATTCTAAATTGTTATACCCTTATAAATATCTATTTTTACTTATAAAAAGTCCAACAAAAGAAATGTTAATTACATCGGTCAAACAATTTCACTGTTGTCCGGCACAATAATGTTCATAGGCAACGTTATCGCTACATGTACTTCACAAGTAAAACAATAATATGTATTAATTAAATCTTAAGTGAAGATTATAAAAAAGATTTATGAACTGGGATTTAAGCAACATATGATTTGTTGGACATGAAGGGGAAAATGTTGCCGTTGAGCTGCGGCCTCGGGCAACATTTTAAACAGGTCCAATAAATCAATGCCCAGATACAAGAGGGGAAAATCGCATATATATCATTTAGGGGACGACCATTTGATTCTGGGGGGGGGGGGGGGGGGGGGGGGGGGCTGGCAAATTTTGTTGAGACAGATTATTTATTTTCATGCCAATCAACGACAGATTATTTATTGTTAAGATTATCAAGGACAGATTATTTTCTTTTTTGTCTTGTGGTACCTTTATCAATGGATACCAACAAGAACAGTTTTTTTCCTTTTATTATACCTCCGCACCGAAGGAGAGGGGGAATATACTGTTTTACCCTGGTGTGTCCGTCCGTTTAGCTGTCTGTCTACCCGTAACAAATTTTCTTCACAGTCTTCTCAGCAACTACTCATCACAGATGCTTGAAATTTTAACACAATCTTCTCAGAGGCATGGGATACATTTTTTATAAATCCGATGTCAACTGCCTGTTTATCCGTGTGTCTTTCCGTTTCATAGATAACAAATTTTTGTTGCAGTTTTCTCAGCAACTACTCATCACAGGCGCTTGAAATTTTAACACAATCTTCTCTGAGGCGTGCGTGATCGGAAGGTCGTGAGTTCGTATCTCGGCCGCGACTGACCCAGTCGATAAAATGGGTAGCAACTGTTCCTTCGCCATGCTCTCGGCACTTTGAAGTGAAAGTTGCGGGTCCTTCGGATGAGACCTTAAAAACCGAGGCCCCGTGTCAGCGGCAGGCGTTGGCACAATAAAGATCCCTCACTGCTCAATGGCCCTAAGTGCCGGGTAAAGGTCAAAATTTGAAGCCCTTCACCAGCATACGGTGACGTCTCCATATGAGTGAAAAATTCTCGAGAGGGACGTTAAACAATATACAATCAATCAATCAATCTCTATGGCGTGCCATGTGATGGGGGAACATTTTTGTTCAAATCCCATGTCAACTTCCTGTTTATCTGTGTGTCTCTCCGTTTCATACATAATACATTTTCGTTGCAGTTTTCTAAGCAACTAATCATCGCAGATGTTTGAAATTTAAAGCAATCTTCTCTAAGGTATGCCATATGGTGGGATTCATTTTCGTTCCAATCCGATGTCAACTTCCTGTTTATCCGTGCGTCTGTCCGTTTCATACATAATAAATTTTCTCGGTAACTACTCATCACAGTCTCACAGATGCTTGAAATTTTAACACGATCTTCTCTAAGGTATGTCATATGGTGGGATTCATTTTTGTTCACTGATGTCAACTTATCTGTGCATCTGCTCGTAATTGAATTTGTGTATATTAATATTACTAGTGAGCATTGGCATACAGACGTCTTGTTTTTAAAGATTTTTTTGTGATTATGTAATTTTCATGAATAAAATACTAGTACTAAAAGACTTATCATTTATATACCTTGTATTAATTTTAATTTATCGGGGAATATCAATCGCTATGTACAATTCTTTGTCAAGAAAATTTATATTTTGCGGTGCATAAGAATTGGCTTGTATTTAAAATGATTCATCACACCTACTGAGTGCACATTGTCATGTAGATAAACTGACTACTGGTATCCAGTCTGTACCGCTAGTATTGTCTTATCAATGGTGTTAACTGCTTCGTCTGTGATTATCTCCTTCCTTGTGTAGTGGTCATACATGCATTTTCTTTCTTCTCACATTTATATGAAAACATTGTCAATCGGATTGATGCTGTTGGGCACTGTGTTGCGAGCAAAAGGATTTTTTAAATCTCATTTTAAATACTATTTGGTTCTAAAATGGCGAGCCAAAAACATGCTGAATTGAAGATATGTCGAGGTTTAATTACTCTGAAGTAAGAAAGGTATTTTTCACAATAATTAAATATTTTCAATCAAGGTCAGATTATTTATTTTCTTTGCAGTGGAGGACAGATATTATTTTCAACATTATCAAGGACAAATTATTTATTTTCAAAATTAGCCAGGTCTCCCCTCAGAATCAATTGTCGTCCCCTTATTTCACCTGTCGCGGCAACCTTTTGCTAGGTAACGGAGATATCAGCTACAAGATTCACAGCTTAAGATGTCCCTTCGACGTTACCACACACCGGCTGTAACCGTGAAAACTGTCGCTAGTGCTCAGTGTCGCTCTTAATAGAATACTGTAGACGTACTATTTTCCACGGGGATATAATTCCGCGGAATCTCAATTTCTGTTTAATCCGCGGGTAGAAAATTACGCGGATTTTCTAAATTGTAACTAAATGCCTTACATTTACATTAAGTACACTTGGACAAATTTCCGCGGAAAAATTGTGACCGCGTACATAGCGTAAATTAATACCACGCGGAAAAAAGTACTTCTACAGTATATAGGGAAAAGAGCGACACTGAGCACTGGCTTATGCGCATGCCTAGGGATTTCGGTCTTTAACTTTTTATCTTTAACCTCTTGATATGACATTGACCTTTACAGTACATTAAACATCTCGTAATATATGTGTCCAAATATCAGCCCTCTACTATACAAGGAACATGTTACACTGCATTTCGTAACAGACTTACAGTCTGTACTGCATTTAAACAGCATTAAGCGATTCTAAAATGTAAGCTACCAAGTGACCAATACATGTATTTAGAATTCTCTGATTTTTTCCCCACAAAATGTGATGTCAATTTTTGCTTGCTTAAAGCTGAACACTTCTCATAAATAGGCACTGTCAGACGGGTATATAAACCGTTCGCTATCGTTACACCCGATTGCACACTCGAAACTCGTGGCCGACATGTAGTACTCCTATCGTGGTCTTAGATTTTTTACGTTTATTTCTTGTTTTTATGTGCATTTTCTGTTTGTAAATAATGTATTGACATGTATTGTTCATGAAACTTTTGTCCTGTTTTGGGAAAAATACGTAAAATTTGATAATTTCATCGATATTGAGTAGAACGCTTTGTAAGATATACGTCTGCACTCGTCGGATCTGCTCCTTATATACGAGTTGTAGGGAGAGCGTTGAAGAAGGAGAAATATGGCGGACTATGCCTATTTACGAGTAGTGTTCAGCTTTAAGTAGCGCATAAAATATCTACCAAACTAAGTGATTTTGTCTTCAAATACTGGGCAAGTTCTTATAATTGAGAGTTGTCTTACTGGTAGCTTGTCTAGCATTGTAGTGCATATGCAAGATTTTTTTTTTCACTTTACTATCTGGTTTCATCTCTTTATATGATATATAATTTTATATTGTGTGTGGACTCTAGACACTGATAGATGTTTGAAGTTATAAATCTAAGTTTATCATCACTGTAATGAAAATGAACTGTCTATCCCAACATTAACAATATTTCAGTGACATTGCATCTTACTGAACGGTGTGTCGATTTACCCAAATGGAGCCAAAGGTGACTCAAATGGACTTCTGTAGACTTTATATCAAAACTAAAATGCATCTATATATATTAAACAATTATTTAGTTTTGCATTTAGATATTTATATTGTTGAATATTCAGAATAATGGCTTTTGAAATAAATGTGTTTTATGTTTATGACAAACATTCAAATTATTGTATCAAAAAACTTACTTTATTCATGACATTTAAGCAAATTATTTTAAAATATACAAGTTTACCAATCAGAAAATTTCACAAATTTATTCTTTTTTAGTAAATCAGTCACGTAGCAACAGGGGGCCGGGGGCTTGCCCCCCCCCAACTATTTTCCAGACATAACTTTTAGTTTTACTGTATTAAAAATGTTCATTGAAAGCCGGGTGTTAGCAACACTCTTGAAAGCCCCCCTCCCACCACACATACTTTCAAAAAAAAGATGCTAAATCACTATAAATGATATTACTATTTCTATCATAATTAAGTCCCTTTGGTTACATCGACGCATCTTACTGAATGTCACCTATCATGGATCATCATTGAACATATAATGAATCAATGTGAACAGAACTCATCTAACCAAAAACTATATGTATGATGAAAATTGATTGAAAACTGCTCAGTTTTTAATTTATGACAGAGAATGTTAACACCTAAACATTCATAGGGAAAATCCACATTAGTCTTTGTGTACAAGAAAAAAAACTTTTCAGCATTATAAACACATTAAAACCACAATAAATAGAGGAAATTCGCGTCGCAACTTTATTTGAAGTATTCTATACTGGTTGCAAGTGGCGAGACCATAATTTAACCTTACTTGTGTCTTGCATTACATTTATCGGCGAAACAAACGATAATTATTTTTATTTTATCTTGTTAAAATACTGTCTTACTTACAATAGATCGGTTTTGATTGCGAGTTTACTAATCATAATTTGTTCTCTCGACTGACTCAAGTGCAAACAGCTGATTAAGTTGGATGCCGATCTCGATGTTCAAAAACATTAAACAGTTTATAGTACACTTCTGCTGTCGCTTTCTTTTCCCAAATAGTTTTTTTAGTCATATACTGCCCTTCTTCTTATGTAATTTTAGAGATGAAGTATCATATGAAAGCCCAGATCAGATGCCGATCGCGATGCAATAGCGTCGAATGTCAAACACTTATTTTTCAAGATTTTTCTGAAAATATTCAAAAAACCAGAATTCTTTAACAGTCTTGGAACTTTATTACTTCGATTTTACTTCATTTTAAACACTAATTGCGTCTTTATAAGGCGATTACAACTTTCTCTGGGTCTAATTATACGAGTGCCGAATTGCAAGGCTACCGCTTTTTTAGAGCGACACTGAGCACTAGCGACAGT